CACACACGGAGACCACATCAAGTTTCCATGTATAGACAGGTTCCTCGAGTGACAACTTCTCCATTAGCAAATGACCGCGAGAATTAATTTCCCCGATAGTAGGCTGAGTGGCCTTATATTCTGTCTAGGCACAAGTCATGCAAATGCGTGTAAAGGACGAATTTCTTGCAATTTGTATTCAAGTAGAACATAAGGTTGACGAAGACTCGGAGACTGCGCCTACCTGATGAACCATAAGTAGAAGGGAGAAACCGGTCGCGGGCTGTAGAAGAGTTTTCAGCAACAGCATGAGTAGTTTCCTTTAAGTTTAAAACTTCAGCCACTTAGCTGACTTCAGAAACGGAATCTCAGTATCAGGTCTGCACAAGTGTTGGACTTCATCTAAAGTTGCAGGTGATAAAAACGAGATTGGATTGGTCAAGGCTTAAAAACGAGATGTCTCAAGTAATTAGAGCGCGAATTTACTGACCCGAAGGTTTGTGGTTCGAACGCGACCTCTGCCTCTCGATTTCCCCTGTCTAGGCTTGGGCAACGTGGAGCTATCCCAACTCTCGTGCTCCCCTCGGATGGCATGGCGGCTGGGCACCGAAAAGGTGTGAAAGCTGAACAATTTTTAAAAAAATATTTAAGGTTACAACCTTTGACACAGTGCTTCACAGCAGTGCACCGATTTCTCTTCGGTTGGCTGTGAAACATTTGCAAATAAGCATCTCAGCTCAGCGAAGAAAAACAAGGATGGCCTATGTTAAATGAGTCACCAGTGTTTTTTCTCAGTAGCAAATGCTCCCAGCAGTTTGGTCTGCAATTGTTTCTTCATGTAACTGTTATTATCTTTGAGACAAACGCAAGCAGGTGTTCAAACGGTTTCCTTGGTTAGTGTCTACCTGCTCGGCCAGCTCGATTTTTCCTTTGGCTTTCGCGCTACAGAGAGTGTTCTATCAGAAAAAAGACCCGACTTGACGCAATGGCTTCTACAAGGCGCCCACTCACCTCGTGAATTGCGCCTAGATTCTGAGTGCCTAAAAACGGCTCGTCATACAAAGATCAAGCATTTTGCTTCACTTCGGTCAGGCGTGTTCGGATTTTAGCCTGGCTTGGTTTTAAACTTTATCGATTCCGGATTGGTGTCAATGCTATACAAAAACCATAGAAAACGGACATGCTTTTGAAGACGAATTTAGCCCCAGTGAAATTCCGAACAACCCCTATTCTGTTCTGCTAAGCAGTTGTCAATCAGTTGGCGGGAATTAGACTTGTCACGGTCATTCCTTCGTGTTTCTTTTGATTGTGTCCTTCCAAAGAATTTAGAATTGTTAAAAATATTGTAGTTCACAGTGAGTCAGAAAAACACGTAAGTAATGACACGGTTGTATTGTGCACCCGCGGCCAACTGATCCGCTTTCGTGGCGCGTAAGCAAACAGCTGAGTCACGTATCCAGTCGACCCACAACCCAGTCACGTGAGCAAATCAATCGGACCCGCACCCAATCAGCCACTCAAGTCACAGGCTAGATAGATAGTGGAACGACGAACGGACACACACACGCACACGCACACGCACACGCACACGCACACGCACACGCACACGCACACGCACACGCACACGCACACGCACACGCACACGCACACGCACACGCACACGCACACGCACACGCACACGCACACGCACACGCACACGCACACGCACACGCACACGCACACGCACACGCACACGCACACGCACACGCACACGCACACGCACACGCACACGCACACGCACACGCACACGCACACGCACACGCACACGCACACGCACACGCACACGCACACGCACACGCACACGCACACGCACACGCACACGCACACGCACACGCACACGCACACGCACACGCACACGCACACGCACACGCACACGCACACGCACACGCACACGCACACGCACACGCACACGCACACGCACACGCACACGCACACGCACACGCACACGCACACGCACACGCACACGCACACGCACACGCACACGCACACGCACACGCACACGCACACGCACACGCACACGCACACGCACACGCACACGCACACGCACACGCACACGCACACGCACACGCACACGCACACGCACACGCACACGCACACGCACACGCACACGCACACGCACACGCACACGCACACGCACACGCACACGCACACGCACACGCACACGCACACGCACACGCACACGCACACGCACACGCACACGCACACGCACACGCACACGCACACGCACACGCACACGCACACGCACACGCACACGCACACGCACACGCACACGCACACGCACACGCACACGCACACGCACACGCACACGCACACGCACACGCACACGCACACGCACACGCACACGCACACGCACACGCACACGCACACGCACACGCACACGCGCAAGCACTGATACATCAAAGCAGCTACTACAAAAGGTAAACAGTCTAATTTGATTTTGCTTCCTACAGACCGCTACCAAATGCCTAAAGTGTCGACTTGAAAATTCTGTTTTATCAGAGAGGCGATTGTATATTCCTTCGAACAACAAAAGTACTACAACATCAGGAACTCGAGAAGTATCGTCTCGTACTGCATCCTTCCATCAAAAGTATCCGCATAGATTGGTGATGCAACCAGAGAAATTGACTAGAAATGCCGATCATAACCAGTTTCAACTAGATAATAGGAGCTTGGCTTCCTGAGTAGTTTGGGATGTCAGCCACTGAAAACAAGACTGAAAGCAGGTGGTTACGGGATCACTCCATCTTGAAGGGTCCTCCCTCTGTCCTAGTTTGCACCGAAACGGAGAGGAACTGGATTCTAGCCTTACCCCCCACAAAAGCACTTTTAGAGTGCATATGTTTAAACGTTCAGGTATGCTGGGCATATCCCAATCACACTGCAGTCACCACCGTCAGACCGCAAGGTAGGAATATACAATAAGTAGCCGGCATTGTCATATCACATTTGGGAAAACGGTGTGGTTCATAAAAGTACAAAAAGTGTCTGAACTCTCCTCTGACTATCTCAGTTTCCATAACTTGGCCATCATTAAGTGCAGTATGTTTCGTTGCGTTTTAATAAACATACATTTCTGGGCAGATATAGGATTCACTTGATTCCAATGGAGACGACTTTATATCCGGTCAATGGATGCTAAAGTACAGAATCCTGAAATTGAATATTTCCCGTCGACAAATAGTTTCCACGCAAGCACGAGTGGCGAGCAAACTGTCTGGGACATAGACCAAACTGTTCGTTCTCCACATTCGTGTAGCGAGTCCATGCGGTGGGTAGACCATAGTCACGCCAATGTTGTACATGACCGAGTACATTGTCCCCGTAAGTATGGCGCACATAGCGTCCGGGATTGGGTGGCGCAGTCACCCACATTCCATTCAAATTGATTTTTGTGACGTTTCGCAATCCCCAGAGACGATGGACTGTTATGATTGGGTCACCGTACAGCTCGATCCACCAAGACTTGGACCGCAGCTGGTAGTAAATACAGGAGTTGTTTGTTATTCCTGAACAAGCCGAAATATTCAAACCGAAATGGGTTTTATAGACCAGTTGACCAAGTTCACACCCATCGATTCTTTCTAGACTCTTTCTTATTGGTTCGTCAATAATGGGATATTTGTATGCATCCCATACCACATCGGCATCGCGTTCCCATGGAAGAAAGCCCCCGTCGAACTTTACCGATCCAAGTAGAGTCCCACTGACAGGAAAGGCCGACACATTGTACTTGAAGGCCAAAGTAAGGAAACCTTTGAGGCATCTGGCTAACTCTTCAATACAACACCCAGGTAGTACAACTCCAACATGCTTGTAGGTTGCACAGTCGATATTCACCTCATCGCATGTCCACTGGTAGTCGAAACCACCAGGCAACACAATACGGTTGAGGATCCACTGCTTAGCTAACGCAACCCACGAAGATTTGGGGGTTTCAGAAATTCCACGGCTTTGCAAGCCGTAACGTTTCCCGGCCACATGGAACAAAACATCCACGCAGGCGACGGTGTTTGACGCTGGAACTCCCGTTCTGTGCATCGAATCCAAGAACATGTGAACGAATGCGACTGGCCCTGATAGTGATGAAGATCTCATTGCAGTTTGGAAAAATTTGCGACGGACCAGGAATGGTGAGGCGATGTAGTCACAGTAGGCACATGACTGAGCAGACAGGTCATATCCCGGGTGAATCCGAAGTGTGAAGTTCCGAAGTGTTGACTGAATTAAGAAGGGAAAATGTTCATTTGAAACTTGCTTATTTCGGAACAATTTTAATCCGACAGAACGATAGTTCATGCCTACTCATACAAAGGCGCCAAAATCACATGACAGTTCTTTTGAAAGGTGTGATGAGTTATTTTATTCACGGCGCAATTAATTCTAATTCCAACCAGAGAAAGCATTCTTCACCTTAAGAAATAAAAGTGCTCTGTTGTGGAATGTAGGTAGCTCGGGTGCGCTGTTTGGTTGTTGGTCTGTTCGCCG